CTTCATGAAGTATTCCAGAGCTGAATATTTCTCTAAATTAGGAATGTGTCGCGTCTTCCATTGTAATTTGGCTCCGTTTACCGCATTTTTTAATGGATTCAAAGTCAAAAACTATAAACCAAGGAAACACTCTGTCCTCTAATGGCACCACACATTCAAATTCCTCTAACTGTACAAATATTGTTTCTTTCATTCTGTGAAAACTTCCAGGGTATCTGTAAACTGTTTTGTTTTGACATGTTTTTTCATGACGCGTGCAACTCCAGGAGGTGGGAAAATTTTTTTCACACAATGCGCACTGATATTTTTTGGCATACGCTTTCATGTTGGTTATATAGGACATATGATTCTGGTATATATTGAAATTCATAGTGTCATCATATTGAGATAAACTACGATGGTTTGGTACAGCATTTCCGTCCTCGTGTAAAAACATGTTGACGTTCACCCGAAAGCAGCGCTCGAACTTGTGAATCGTCATAATCAAAACCATCAAATTCTTTCGGGGTAGGGTAATCTGACAGGTTAAGTTTTTCCCGAATGTAAGCAGACCACTTATCGTAGTGGAATTTGGCGGACGTATCAATGGTGTCTCGCTGTCCACGATTAATGGCCAGACAACGGAAAAGGCATAGCTGGTCTTTGTATGGGACGCTGTTCTTATTTTTTATTAAGACACACAGATTTCATCAAATTACGGGACTAATAATTCGCGAATGGACGGTTAATCAACAGATTTGACTTAGATTTCAGCATCATGACACTGTCCGTTTACCGCCCTCTTCTATAGGAATCTTGTCACTGAACACTGTCCGTTTACCACCAGCTTCTATACAAGTCTTGTATCCGGACACGGTCCATTTACCGCCATTTTCTTTCTGAGTCTTCTCACTGGGAACAGTTTCTTTGAGTTTCTTGTCTTCTTTCTGTATGCCTTTTGCTTTAGCGAGATCCACCTCATAGTCATGTTTTAAATGTAGAAATTTTTTTTGCAATTTTTTCTGAAAGTATATTTTATATATCATAAAAAAATATGTCAGAAAATCTCAATTTTGCAACTTATTTCTTATACATTAGCTGATGAAGACAATTTGAATTGATTTTATATGATTTTATTTAGATTATTATAGATGAAATGACAAAATATATCAATCATTTTATGAAATGCCTCGATCCTTCTCACAGGTTTATTAATGTACACAGAACTGCGAAAATGAAAGAAAAACTTAGCAAGCTCAAACACCCCACGCTCCCCCAAAACTCTAAATTTGCTGGGGAAATAAAAGAATTCCAATTTCCCGGTAATATGCACATCTACACATCGTGTTTTTAATTTCTGCAAAGTTTAACCAAATTCTTTGTAGCTGTTTATGAGAAGTTGCGCTGACAATCTGTTTTTACATTTTTAAGGTATGGCAAAAAATCTATGTTGAAAAGTGTGGAAATTTGCAGAAAAAAGAATACTGTGTTGTGAGAACTTAATATCTGCGGAGTTTGAGAAAATTCAGTGAAGCGGCTTATAAAAAGATGTGCATACAAAAAAATGACACTGATTGTCTGACGGGTCAAATTAAGACAATTTATGAGTGCAAAAGTTGACTCAAAATTTGTTTTTTTTCTAAACTATCTTGTAATCATATTATGTATATCTTATAGCAGGTTTTCTTGGCGGGTGTAAAATATGGCGTTTTTGTCTGCTCAAAGGTATGGGAATATTTTTGGCGTAATTTATTTTAACTGACGTATGGTTTCAGCTCCTTGCAGATGGACACTGAAGAGTCCTGACTACTTTAGCGATTACAATTTTTATGGATCATCATCTAAACAACATTAACAACCTTCTAAAATGACCCACTTTATTATATAGCTAATAAGTAGTCTCTAATAAAATACTATCAAAAATCTAGATAATTTTAGCTTTGAATATCTTGACATGTTATTGATCGCTAACTTTGTATTACGTATAAGAGTATGCCCAAAACATTCCGAATACGAGTGTTCAATATCGAACGCCCCGTTGTAAACAAAAAAAAAGTCGTCTGGTCAAATTACCAGAGTAAATTAAGGAAGTGAAGTGGCATCTAGGTAAGATGTTTTTATTTTTCACACAAAATGAAATTATTTTAATACGTTTTAGACCTATTAAAACATACATAAGCAAATCATATCGCTCGGTAGGGTCATCCGAATGATGCAAAATTGAACACTAACAGGATAGACGTTAATTTGAATACAGATACTACAAAATTCATTAATTTTACTTTTTCCTAGTTGGAATACTTCTAGAATGAATTACGTGGAAATGTTTTAGCTAAATAATTAAGTAGTTATTGAACTGATATCGGTGAATATTGGCACTCGCTGGCTGTTCAAATGCACTCGAAAGTTCGTGCATTGAACAGCCAACTCGTGCCAATATTCACCGATATCAGTTCACTAACCGTATAATATAGCATTTCATTTCATTATAATGGTGTAGCATAATATAAATAACTTTACTCTAAATATTGTTAGTATAACTCTATAAAATAAAAATGAAACATTCAGAAAATGGTAATACTAAGTAATAAACACCAAGGGCCCATGTACCATAATGATCACCTGACAAACAATGTTCTTACAGAATAAAAAACATCACAGGGAACTACAAGTTATGTCATCTTTTGCTCATCACAAGTCTTTCAGATAAAACCAAAGGTAATGTGTCATGGTGAATAATGACAACCCTCTCAGCATTGGTGTTATGTTCAAAGCATGTGTGTAATTAATTATTTGGCACTTCAGTGTTCTCGATTCTCTATAATCGGGGCCGATATTTGGCCCCATTCCCAGCGTGAAAAAGGTACCTTTTCCCCCAAATTAAAGGGTGAGAAATCAACAAACATGAAGAGTAGAACCCTCCAGAGCCCCAGGTGTGTGTGTTGCCAAGATTCGTTTTTTTCTTCATCCAATGATTATATTACTCGCCCAACTAAATTTTTGTCATGAAAGTTGCTTTTGAATTTCAAGCCATATTTTTTGTTTCGTTTTGGTCGACTTTGTCAATGTAGCTGCATGTGTGTATAGCATGGAATATGGAACCTCGAACACGTTGCGATGTATATATTTATGTACCAAAAATAATAATCACTTTTAATGAAATAATCAGAATTATTTACTAATGAAACTTGTATTTTTCTGAAAATGTATACATTTATGAGTATGAACAAAATTACAAATCCTATAGGAAAGTATTAACAAGTCTGTTTTTGAAGAGATGTGCTGTATTGTCACTTTAAATATATTCCAAAGGAAGAAAAAACAAGCACAAACATAAAATACATTTTTCCATCCGACCAAAACTTGACTTCTTTATTAGACAGGGTACATCCTGGCCACCAAATACCGCCATCTAGGCGAACAGCTAAAGCATCTCCTGGAATAACAAGGCAATATTAATAGAATATATTAACAGGGGCATGTAAATAAAGACATTTACATGAAATCTATAATCATAATATTCCTCTAATTTGTATGAGGTTCTAAATATAGGCCTTTCAACTAATATTTCAAGTTGCATATATGGCAAAAAACATTGCTTAGATAAATTTATAAATACATGAAATTATCAAAAAGAAAATAACTTTTGCATACTTTTAATTAAATCATTAATGAGTTTTATCATTTATAATTGACTTTTTTGATGTTGTGTTTTAAGGACAGGTAACTCAGGTGTGAAAAATGACCAACTTAGTATCGATTTATGAGTTATCGTTTATACGAATGACATATAGGCTGCTTCAGCATTGGCAATGTTAGGCCATAATAAATAAATTGCTAGATTCTCATCATTTTTTTTTAATTCGAGGCGGGAGGGCGGCTTTTATGTTATTTTTTTATTTTTACAATTTTGCAGATTATTTTGTTGACCTGGTCAATTGGTATAATTTTGTGTACAATATATCCGAATAAAGGTTATAGTAAAGGTTCATGCAATTATCTCTCACATCAACACCAATCTTTTTCAACCAATGACCCTTGTGTAGAATATATAGTTACGCATGTATTACAGCAATTTCAATCTTTCCAGCAGTCAAAAAACATGTGGACTTTCGCAGGATTTGTTATACAAAGAATGGTAGATTAATACCGATCCCGATCAGAATTAAGACAAAGAAAATGAGAAATAAAAAAAATTGAGGCGGTGGTATAAAATCGGGGCGGACGGGGATGAGAATTTAGGAATATTTTATTTTTATGGCCTTATTATGTACACAAAAGGGTTCCTTCCATTGTTTTGTACAAAAAAAGGTGTTGATCAAGAGAAATGGAATGCCTTCACTCTCACTCTACCTGAAATATCAGGGTTAATTGAATGGGGAACAGACTATATTCAATATTTTTAACTCTCTATGACGATTATTATGAGAAAGAAAATTTATTGTCATGTTTTTGTGTTCGCGTTTTTTCGCTTCCTATATAAAAATATACAAGTAAATGCAACAATTGATCTTCTTATTTGTGCTACGTAGCACGAAGGGGAACGACCGAGTATAAAAATTTAATTAGGTTAGAACTAAGAAGGAGGGTAGATTTCACTCTTTATTCTTATTAGAAATTTAAATTATATGTAGTTAAACGGTGTCCGCAACTATAGAGTGAATAAGTTTAAAATTGGTGCTACATTTTAAAACCACTGGATTCTACCGAGAGCAAAGAAACACTTGGGAAATGCTACAAACTACCTTGAGTGTAAACAGTTATTGAGTTAAATAGTGTGATTCTAGCCCTAGTATTTAATTAGCCACTCACAGCATATACTGATATTTTCAGCATATTGACAGGTACATTATTGTTTGTTATTAAACAATCGGTAAAAAGTTGTAAAAGATATATGTTGTGTGCTGTCGTCAATCGTACATGTATTATAATATTGTTTTTTGAGTCAGGTTCATTGTATTTCAACCCGGTATCGATCTCAATATCATGTTTCATAGTTCTAGATAATGTGCGCATATGTGACGCGTCATGAGACTTTGGGTCCAAATGCGGTATTTGTAAAACAATGAATTGACGTCATAAACATCGCACGTTTTTTCCTCATGCTCTGGCCAATATTTTTTTTTCTACAAAACCTATGATTTGGAATAAAAAAAATAAATGCCAATCAATTTTTCCCGTAATTTAAAAGTAGACATTGAAAATCAAGTGTGTAATTATTTCAGTTTTGTGCTCTCTCTCGTTTAACTAATTTACAGTGGAAAATAAACATGCGTTCGTGTATTTAGTACATGCAACGAAAGCGAAAGTAGAAATTTTATCTCCCTTGTCAAAACATCACTTCCGTTGTCAGAGTAAACTATCTTCTGCTCAGTATTATGTCGATTGTTATTACCTTGTGTACATATAAAATGGCAGTATGAGCCAAAGCAGTGTGTTATCGAGGGCAAGCACCATCCCCCCTTCCATAATAGACCAGGACGACGACGAGTTTAACGAGGAAATATCACAGGTTAATGATTTATTTTTTGGAAATGTGGAAGTACATGACGGTCTTGAATGTTCGGGCAGTCTCTCTGATGAAAGTGATAGCGACACAAACGAAGAGTGTGATAGCGAAATAAACAACAATGACTTTGAGATATCAGATTCCGACATAAGAGAAACGTTGGGTGTGGAGAATTTTTTTGCTAACACCTGTGGATGCACAAGACTATACGGTTGGCCATGCAGCTCTGTTGTGGATAGGAGTGTTTAATGTGTGTTTAGAGACAGAAAAAGCAGAGTTAGATATGCTGATAAAGGTACAGCTCTTTCATCACAGAAATAATTCCACAGAGACGTGTGCAAAAAAGCATAAGACCAAAGAAAGGGAAAGGGTGAGGCAGGGGTACCATTTCAGTGGGGTCCAGGTCTGCAGAGAAACATTTGCGTTTGTCCATGGTATTGGTAGAAAACAAGTCGATTCCATTGCTAGATCCCTGGATCAAGATGGGCTTGGTGCTAGGAGACACGGCAACACTGGAAAATTACCAAAACACGCCTTAACAATGGAGGATGTCAAGAGAGTCAAACAATACCTTAGCTATGCGAACAAATTTGGACTTCCTCTGCCTGGCAGGTTACCAAATTTTAGACATGAAAAAACTGTTTTATTGCCATCTGACAAGACAAAGGCAGATATTCACCAAGAATACCAGGCACTTGCAGATGAGATGTCACTGAGAAAAATCTCCTTATCACAATTCAAAACTATTTGGCTTGAGCAATGTCCAAATATCCTAATAATGAAGCCCGCAACTGACCTTTGCCACAGATGCCAATCCTTTGCAACAACACTTTCAGCTAGTGGCAACTTGAATGAAGAGGAAAAGGAGGAATTATTAACCAAGTATCAAACACACATTGACCATGTGAAGACACAGAGGGACCATTACAGGGATCAGTGTGCTGCAGCCAAGTCAATATTTAGCCAACTCAGTCCAGAACAACAATTGAGAGGTAATGCATTTGTTAATCAAACTGCGTAATAAATTTGATTTTCTGTTTAAAAAGAAAAAAAATAAATTAAATTTTATTTGTTCGACAATAAGTTTAAATTTAAACACTGTTAAAGGCAGACAGGGAATATTTTAGAGAAACTACTTGGGTCAAACAATGCATAGATATAAACAATTAGATATATCTTTTAATATTGTCATTACCAAGTTGTTTTTGATTTCACTCTTTTCTGTTTTTTAGGCCAGCCACCATGTACCTTGAAGGCCCAATGGCATTACAGTTTTGATTATGCGCAACAGGTGCATTACCCTCACTACGCACAGCAAGTTGGGCCCTTGTTTTTTAAAACACCAAGGAAATGTCAATGCTTTGGCATTTGCTCTGAGGGATCAGGTATATGTATTTTTTGATTTAATTGATATTATTATTTTCTTAAAATTTTAGAACATATAATTTATTTCATTCAAATTTATTTATTTATTGTTTGTGACAAAACATTGATACTGGAATCCATATCCAAAATATACATCAGTAGTTAATTTGTAGGTACCCAGATATTTTATCTCGTGGATGAAGCTCAGCACTCAAATAATGGAGCAAACACAGTAACCAGTATGCTGCACCACCATTTTATGTACCATGGTCTTGGAGAAGTTGATGTTAAACTTCACATGGATAATTGCAGTGGACAAAACAAGAACAATACAGTCATAGGGTAAATAGTGATTGTGAAAAGTAAAATTTTGAAATTTTGGAAGAAAGGTAACATTTAATACATATGTTCAATACCTTTAAAAGGTAAAAAAAAATATACATTCAAATTAGGATATATTTGTGTTAAGTATAGACAACTATATTGCTTTGTTTGTTCAAGGTTAGGCCATAAAAATATTATCTTGGTTCTCAGGCCCTCCCTCATCTCCTTTAAGGGTGCTTCATTGACCCTTTTTATTGCTAAATCAATAAAATAAAAACAACAGATCACATTCCTCATCATTTTCTTAGGTAAAAAGCTGCCTCATCAGTTTTGGGGGCAGTAAAAAGTGAAAAATATGCCTGCCTCCTTCCCTCATCATATCTCTTGAAAAAAGGCTTGAGAACCAAGGAATTAATTTTACATGGCCTTAATTTTATATCAAACATCTTAGCCTATTTACCGATACCTTAAAGACAACTTCTGGTTATTAAAAAGTATATAGTAGTATATAATAGTTTAGTAGTCTATAATATATATTCATGAATTTAGAGCAACATGCAATTTCTTTATTTTGAATTGTTTGTACAGGTATGGTCTTTGGAGAGTATTAGTTGGATTACATGAATCAGTTGAATTCTCAATGATGGAAGCAGGCCATACAAAATTCAACCCAGATTGGCATTTTGGTTTATGGAGAGTCAAATGGAGGCCCTCAAAAGTTGAAACATTAGAGGAAATTGCCACCAGTGTAGCCAGATCTTCCAGGAATGGCCATAACATTCCACAGTTAGTGGATGACCCTGATGCACCCCTTTTCTTTTATGACTGGGCTACCTTCTTCAAGAGGATTTTTAAACCAGTACCCCATCTGAAGTCTTACCATCATTTCAGGTATTTTTGTCCATTATCTATACACAATGCAGATCTCTAAAACTTAATATATTCAAACTTATCAGAGCACTTAATACTCAACAGAGATCAATAAAGAAAATGTTTGCACATATGTCATAAAAAAAAAACTTCACATGGAATATTGACATGGATTTGAGATCATCTTTACATTTTTCTTTGAATTTTTTTTTAGAATAGACAAAGACCATCCTGGTACTGTGTTCTTGCGAGAGTACGCAGATAGTCCCGAGGTGGCTGTAAACATCCTCAAAGCTGGTGCTACAGTGGATCCAAATGCTCTTCCTACTTCGATTCCTCCCAAGGGTCTAGATGCACACAGGCAGTGGTATCTGTACGAAGAAGTTGCTCCATATTGCGCGAACAAGGAAAGTTGCCCCAAACCAGCTGTCTGTAAACCCATCATCAAGATGGAATCTCCTTCACTGACTCGAAAGTGCAGTAAATGCAAAATGACTGGACACAATAAATTAAATTGTAGAAACTAGTTTTTCAATATGACCTTTTATGATCTTTCTAGTCTTGTTAAAACTTATTGAGATTTTAATTTGTTATTTGCCATTTTTGCATAATCTTTTCATGTTTTAATGTTTTTTCCAACATTAACCTATTAATTGATAAAAGCATATAATTATTATGTAAAACAAAGCTTTGTGTTCTTGTTTCTTTAAATTTATTTGATAACATTGAACAATCAAATGGTTGAAATGTTCTACATTGTATTTTTTAAACCAAGAACTCATTTGTTTTAAAGGAACTGTAACAGTATCTCAAAAACTGCAGTGTTGCACAAAACAGCATAATAACCCAATTATATGATGGTCTTTGTGACGTCATAATTCTAAAAATAGTATGCCAATGAGAGTAAAACTTCACTGTAGTATATTTGGACACCTAAGCTTTAATATTAAGCAAAAATCTCATTTTTGAAAAATTCCTCATTTGGACCCAAAATGTCATGACTGGTCACATATAAATGTCACATTTTCAACTTATTGACTAAACAGTCTTGCATTAAATATTGCCAATGCTATCTATTATTAGTATTTTACTCCAAGATTGTATTTATTTTACCCCTTAAGTACTGTTGTAACAGAAAAATCTTGTTATGAAATCATTTAGTTTATTTTTTCTTGTTAGATTAAATCCATGAAGATAAAGATTTTTTTAATGGCATCAAGAGTATGTATTTTTTTTTAAAGTGTTTGCATGCTTTGCTTGGGGATTGTAATTCTTTGCTTGAAAATTTTGTCGTTCGCCATTTTTATTACGTCAACTACTATATGATTTATCCATGATTGAAGCATTTCAAAATTGATACATTTACTTACAGTTCAAAGTCGAATTCTCTACTGATATGACCTTGATCCCCTTAAGAACAAGAGTTTCAAGGTCAATTTTTAATACAAAAATGTTCTTTCAACTTTATGGTCCATATCTTACATAAAATATCATGAAATATACAAAAAGTGTCTAAAATGTATCCAGAATGTGAAATATCAAACATGTATAGGGTATAGCCAAAAACTTTAAAATGTTGCTTAGCAGATATTTGAACTAAAATGATGCATTGATATTGCTTTACTGATGATATCTTCCAAACGACAACTCCATCTAGCACACTCTTTATCCTCTTTCTGATGGACAATAAAAAAATCTGCCAAGATATCTTCTCTCTCAGACACGGTTCCATATATGCTGTCGAGTTTGTTGATAATGGCCTCAATGGAAGCTCCTTGGCCAAGATGCATAACGTCTCGACTTGCCTCTCTCTTCAGAGAACGTCGTATGGCATGATGAATAGCTTCTGGCTTGGACGACTCTCTAAGCAGGCACTCAACCTCGTATTTCCATACGTCATAGGATGTGTCGGTCTTAGTGTTTCCAGAGAAGAAGGGAATCTTTGGGTAATGGAAGTTGACAACGGATTTCGATGCTGTTGTGGTAGGAGTAACATCATGATGCTCCATTTTCACTTTCATTGGCTTGGTCAAGGATTCCATCCACTGCAAGAAATCTTGTGGAGTGTCGGCTTTCGGCTTCATCTTCATTGATGCTAGCGCGTCTACAATGTTGTTTACTTCCGTCTGTGTAAAGGTCACTTCCTCTGGCTGTGTTGTTTCTGTTGTCTCTTTGGTGTTCGACTTATGATGAATGTGATAGTTAACAATAAACTAGGTTCATTAATCAATGTGAATATATTTTTAATATGCAAAATTTCAGCAGAAAATGGCAATTTTAAATATTCACACTAGAAAAAAAATGTAAATAATTTCAAATATGCAAGGGAGGGTTGTTCTAAATGAACAAATGAAATACTCGGCTAATATTTAAGAATAACTATCAATTCAGGGGAGTAGTTCACGTACGGAACTAAAATATATGTGTATGCTATTTATAAACCTGAAAAACTGGAATAATTTTCTACTTCCGGTTACTTTACTTCAGGTCACATATGCAGGTCACATAAGACTATAAATAAAGACAAGAGGCCCATGGGCCACATCGCTCACCTGAGAAGCTTTGGCCATTCTGTTCTTTACCAGATTTCCCCCTTGTAATACATATTGTGACCCCACCCTACCCCACTGATCATAATTTAAACAATTTGAAATCTACATACACTACCCCAGTATGCTTCCATATAAGTTTCAGCTTTGATTTTCAGATTTCTATGTAAAACATTGAACCCACATTGTGGCCCCGCCCAACCCCCGGGGGTCATGATTTGAACAATTTAGAATCAACACTACCTCAGGATGCTTCCAAATAAGTTTCAGCTTCTCTGGCACAGTGGTTCTTGAGAAGAAGATTTTCAAAGATTTTTCCTATATATTTCTATGTAAAACTTTGATTCCCCATTGTGGCCACACCCTATCCCCGGGGGTCATGATTTGAACAATTTAGAATCTACACTACCCTAGAATGCTTCCACATAAGTTTCAGCTTTTTTGACCCAGTGGTTCTTTAAAAGAAAATTTCAAAAGATTTTTCCTTTATATTTCTATGTAAAACTTTGATTCCCTATTGTGTGCCCGCCCTACCCCTGGGGGTCATGATTTGAACAATTTAGAACCTACACTACCCCAGGATGCTTTCACATAAGTTTCAGCTTTACTGGTTCAGTGGTTCTTGAGAAGAAGATTTTCAAAGATTTTTTCTATATATTTCTATGTAAAACTTTGATTCCCCATTGTGGCCCCGCCCTACCCCTGGGGGTCATGATTTTAACAATTTAGAATCTACACTACCCCAGGATGCTTTCACATAAGTTTCAGCTTTACTGGCCCAGTGTTTCTTGAGAAGAAGATTTTCAAAGATTTTTTCTATATATTTCTATGTAAAACTTTGATTCCCCATTGTGGCCCCGCCCTATCTCTGGGGGTCATGATTTGAACAATTTAGAATCTACACTACCCCAGGATGCTTTCACATAAGTTTCAGCTTTACTGGCCCAGTGGTTCTTGAGAAGAAGATTTTCAAAGATTTTTTTCTATATATTTCTATGTAAAACTTTGATTCCCCATTGTGGCCCCGCCCTACCCCTGGGGGTCATGATTTGAACAATTTAGAATCTACACTACCCAAGGATGCTTCCACATAAGTTTCAACTTTTCTGGCCCAGTGGTTCTTGAGAAGAAGATTTTTAAAGATTTGTTCTATATATTTCAATGTAAAACTTGGATTCCCTATTGTGGCCCCGCCCTACCCCCGGGGGTCATGATTTTTACAATTTAATATCTACACTACCCAAGGATGCTTCCACATAAGTTTCAGCTTTCCTGGCCCAGTGGTTCTTGAGAAGAAGATTTTTAAAGATTTGTTCTATATATTTCTATGTAAAACTTGGATTCCCTATTGTGGCCCCGCCCTTCCCCCGGGGGTCATGATTTTTACAATTTAATATCTACACTACCCAAGGATGCTTCCACATAAGTTTAAGCTTTTCTGGTCCAGTGGTTCTTGAAAAGAAGATTTTTAAAGATTTGTTCTATATATTTCTATGTAAAACTTGGATTCCCTATTGTGGCCCCGCCCTACCCCCGGGGGTCATGATTTTAACAATTTAATATCTACACTACCCCAGAATGCTTCCATATAAATTTCAGCTTTTTTGGCCCAGTGGTTCTTGAGAAGAAGATTTTTTAATGACCCCACCCTATTTTCGTATTTTCTTGATTATCTCACCTTGGAAGGGGTCTTGGCCCTTGATTTTAACAATTTAAATTCCCCTTCACCCAAGGATGCTTTGTACCAAGTTTGGTTAAAATTGGCCCAGTGGTTCTTGAGAAGAAGTTGAAAATGTGAAAAGTTTACAGACGGACGGACGGACGGACAGACGGACGGACGGACGGACGACGGACACCGGGTGATCAGAAAAGCTCACTTGAGCTTTCAGCTCAGGTGAGCTAAAAAAGATTTATCAACACTAAGTTCTCAAGTGCAAGTCTGGTTAAATTTCACTGAAAATAAGAAATGTTGAAACGAATTATGCCTGACGATAAAATGTTTACAATGCAATAAACCCAAACCTTACCTGAAAACCAATTACAAGTTCAAAGAAATAACAAACACTTATGAAAATAAACCAAATTTTAAAACGTGTTTACACAGGAAGCTGCTTACTGAAAACAAATTTCGCGTAGGCCGAGTTCGGTCGAAAGAAAGAAACCGATCTCGATGTAGCTGCGAGCGGAATGGCGGCAATTTCAGAACACTAATCTATAAATACAAGGCAATGGGAAATATGGGATTTACAAGGTTTGTCCCAGAAAAACGCTATCATTTTTTATATCTTTTGTTTTACTAGGACTATAAAGTTAAAAATTGGGATGCATCATGATCAGCATTTTTTGAATAATGCCTAAAAATTTCAAAGAAATATCTTTATAAATAAAATTCTCCTCGTATGTAAAGGAATCTATCGAATTAGCTGTCGGCGCAACACTGACGACGTCAAAACGTATCTCGTAGTGTTTACGAATTTTTTACGACAAGTGCGCCTCTATAAATATTCATTTTTAGCACACATTCGGCAATGTGTTTCATTATTTCTAGTTACCAAGTTATGCATCTCAAATACTAGTGCTACTAAAAGATTGGGGGGGGGGGGGTGGTAATTCTCTCAACAGACAATTTTATAATCCCCATCATAAACCCACCTGATCGAATTATTTAACAGCGGTCTTCACGTAGGCCTATGACGTCCCACTCTTGTCTTTCACTTAGTCTTTATTTATGTGCACATGTCTATTCTCTTCTATCAGGAAACCAGTCAAGTCAACCTAAACTTGACCTCTTCTACTAGATATAAACCTGTTCCCTATATTTTGTTTGTGTTCTGTAATTGTTAGCATTTTTTTCTATATGCAGGAGTCATATCCCACTTAACTTAGTGTTGCTTGATAATTTGGTGCTCCACGTCACGGCTTAACGTCACCATTATTGACAATGTCTAATTCAGAGCGCTTAGCTATATATCGTCATATATTTGTCATGAATGATGTCAAATAAATAAAATTTTAAACACAAGTACACCAAATCATAGAGTATTTATGATAGTAAAAATTTTGATATTATATTGCCATATAGCCTGATAACAACGAAAACTTCAATCACATTGCTATTTGTAAAAGTCAAAAAAATATCGTGCGCCGACCATCGATATTTAACATCATTTAAATGCCGTTTTTATATGCATATGACATCACATGCCTATAATATTTTGTCAGAAAATCTAAAAGATGATTTCCTAACACCATGCCAAAAATTATTGGTTTTGGATGAATAGTATTTAAAATATTCAAAAAGTTCGCGTTTTTCTTGGACAACCCTCGTAGAAGGGATGTTTATCTTTATTGTAGAACTAATTTAAATAACACTCAAAAACTTTTGAACTGCCCTAAGGTAACTATATTATCTACATACAGATGTACAGGTAAAGGGCTAAGGATATAAAGGAGCGGATC